TATTTGGTCTGATAAAATTGTTTTGTGATATTTTTCAATATAAATCACAGAAAATGAAGTAGAATATAGACAGTAAAGTACTATAATTTCTGGAATTTTAATGATTTATATGGAAAAGGATAAAAATAATTTAAAAAATACATTTTTCTTAAAATATAGGAAGTTTAGTTCCCATAAGATTTCAGGATACTTTAGGACATATTATTTTATATATTACCTTATTTAATGAATACTTTTAATGTGAGTGATACTGATTTTCTTACTCTCATTTACCCTTTTCACATTCTGTTCTGACCTCTTCCACAGAATATAAAATGTAGCACATTAATTAAAAAATTATATATCTTTTCCCCTGGATTGAATTAAAAATATTTGCTTTGTTAGATTTCCTCCTATATTATGTATATATACTTCTTAGGGGCAAAATGACAAATTAAACCAGAATATCCTGAAAAGAAGCCATTTCTCTGTGAAATTCATCACTCAGCTTCGAGATGTATTTTCAAGTTTCAACAGCTATTTACCTTACAGTTTTATAAATGTTTCTGCTATTTTCCAAAACAGTATTTAAAAAGTTACAGCTTTGCAAATAACCTAAGAATTTTTTAAATGCAAGTACTTAAACATTCTTCCTAATTGTTGCTATGTACCAAATTACACTCTCTTAAAAACCTGATTATTCCAATGAAAAAGTAATAGACATCCTGAAAAATAATGTTAAATATTCATCTGAACCCCCAAATCATTGTGAATTAAATAGTGAACAAATGTGGGATAAATCCAGTTTCAGTGATAGATTATAAAAATAGTAGCTTACGTATTTTTGGTTTTATAAAGAATGTCAGAAAATTTCCTATGTGATTGGTGGTGAATATCTTTAGTGTGTAGGAATGTAAGTTTAAGCTTCAAGAACCCACGGAGGTTGTGAGATGTTAGTCAGAGAGTACTAAGTTCCTATTATAAGGTGAATAACTTAATGTACAGGATAGTGATTATACTTTAACAATATTGTATATTTGAAAATTGCTAAGAGAGTAGACTTTAAATGTTCTCACCACAAAACAGAAAAACAAAACAGTAATTGTGTGAGCTGGTAGATGTGCTAACTAACCTTATTGTAGTAATCATTCTGCAATATATATGCATATCAAATCAGCATATTGTATACCTTAAACTTACACTTACTTATGTCAATTATATCTCAGTAAAGCTGGGGGAAAAGAGGCAACTCAAGTTATAAATAATGCACATTTGCTCATTTGAAAAAAAAAGAATTCATGCATAGAGAATGTTGTGATTTATTCTTTAAAAGGAATAGGATCTATAAGTTGATACACTGTGGTTCTGAAAACAAAGCTGTTGGGTAGATGGTGGGTACTATTGTACCGAGCGAAAAGGGCATTTCAGAATAGTAAGAATCAGAGAGAAGTGAGAAAGAACAGGCAGGAGAGAGCAGAGTGAGTTGATGCAGAAAAAGGAGGCAAAGAAAGTAGCATGAGAAAACACATGACAGGCAGGGCAGGAGGAAGTCAAAGATACAATTGGACTGATACAGGTCTGGAAGACAGGGTGGAAAAAAACATAGAAAGTGTTGCTAAAGTGTGATTTCAGACAATAAGCAGTGGAAAAACCTGCTTCAGAAATGAAGAGATACATGGTCACATTTTTAATGTGGGCTTTATTCCATTTAAGATGGTAAAATAAGATCCCTGTAGCCAAAACTGAGCTCTCTAGGGGGTCATATGATTGAAAACTACACTTCCCTTAGAAACGAAGAGAATTCCTATTATATGAGAAAGGCACATATATAGAACATGCCTAGCTGTTCTTCCCTCTCTTTTCCATAGCAAATCTCACAACACTTCTCATTACAGGGCTTTGGAATGGCCACTGCCGACCAACAATCTCTTTCCCTTATCTATGCTGAATCTTTGAGCTTGCACTTGTCAAAGTAACATAATATAATTAAATTACATGGCTAGAAAGGCATCAAATAACACTGGGCTCGTGACCTGCCCACAATAATAGAATCTTTGCTTTGGAACCTTCCCAAATTTTGATCTACAGCATGGCTGGAAACAGAACCACTGGGAGAGGTTTTAAAAAGCAGGGAAAATTCTTAGGTCCAACATTTGGGCATTTTGATTCTCTTTTTTTTAAATTTTCTCAATCGACTTTCTAAGATGAGTGTTATGAATTGAATTGTGTCCCTCCCAAATTAATACAATGAAACCCTTTCTTCCATTACCTAGAATGTGACTGTATTGGGAGATGGAGCCTTTAAAGAGTTAGGTTAAAATGGGTCATAAGGGTAGGCTCTAATCCAACTTGACTGATATCCTTATAAGAAGAGAATTAAACACAGACAACATTCACTGAGGGATGACCCGTGAGGGCACAGAAATCTTAGGTCTCAGAAGAAATCAAGCCTATGTTGATCCTAGAATTCTACCCTCCAGAACTGTGGTACTTTTTAACAGCAACCCTAGTAAACTAACACAGTGAGAAACATTTCCTAGTTCAACACATCGCTTTAAAATGCAGAGATTTTCACTGACAAACCACTCCGCTTTTCAATAGGTTTATGTATTCTGCCTTCCCCTACTCCAAGACTATGTTTTAGAGGTAAAATTGTCATAAAATCAAGCCAAGACTTTATCAAAGGCTTTGTTTTTGAATGACACGTGTAGCGGATGTTTTTATTGTTGGAGTCGCCCATCAATACTACATTTTCTGTCTTTGTCTATTGTATATCGTGAATTAGCAAAGCATGATCTTTGTCTCCATTTCATTGCATATGTATATTTACAAAAATATAATGCATAGCATGTTTTACAAAAAAATTTCCTACTTACTTTCCTGTTCATCTTATCCAAATATATTCCATTATACTTTATCTTGCTAATGATTTTCACTAAGTGTAATTTCTTTTTATATAATACTAGAATTACTTCCTACCTTTCTTTTGAATTATGTATTACTTTGTGTTGCTTTTGAAATCTGCTGTTTTCACATTTTGTATAATTTCATGTTTAACATCCATATTCTTCTTTGGTGTATAGACATCTGATGATATAATTGTTTCTGGTTCTCTAATTATACTTTTAAGTGAATTAATGGGAAACTTGTTCATTGTTAGGATTTTAAATTTTTTGCAGCCCCTTCCTTCCGTTCCCACGTCGTTAGTGAAGTTCTATATAGTACAACTTTCATGCGTATATCTGAATATATTTCTCCCTTTAAAATCAGATCTACAAATATTCAGATCAAAAAATGTATTCTTCATAATCATTTTCTCAATAACTTTGGGGGGATGAGTGTCCTCATCCTTATTTTACAGATATGAGAATGTGGTGAAGATAATAGATTTATGTCAAAGAGTGGAATTACTCCCCCAAACTAGGAGTAATATCATTTAAGAATCCTAAAGAAAGATAACAGTTCAGCAAGGCATATATGACTCAATTGGTCATATCCGTGAATCTACAAAGATTTTTTTAAATTAATAAACAATATTTTTAGTGACATCCATAAACCATACCAGCATCTTCCAGTTTATTTTCAAACAGGAAAGATAACCCAATATCCAATGAGACACAGATGTGTGTGCCTGTCTATGCATTCAGACACACGTGAATTACAGTTTTTACATGTTTGGGTTTTGAACTATCTACCATGCTTGTTTACCTGCTGAATATGTGATAAGCCTTCAGAACTCAGACTGAGTATCATCTTTTTTTATAAAGCTTATACTGACTGTCCCTTACTATCGATGACTATTACTTTCTATGTGAAACTTTGTGTTGGTTTTGAACATTTGATCCTGTTGCCTGTATTTATTTGCAAGACTGTGTTTTTTCATTAGACCATAAAATCTCCTCGAGTGTAAGAACTTATTCTTCTTTATGTATTCAGTATTTAGCACTATGTTTGGCAAATAAGTACTAAGCAAATGTGTTGGATTAAAGAATAGATGTATATGAAACAAAGTCTTTAAATATGAGCCACAGGACTATGGTTTTTGCAGGGATCAGACAATCTAAAAATTGTGTGCTTGCATTTTTGCATTGAAATTGAAGTACACTAATGCTCGTAATTGTTGAGAGATGGAGCAGGGCTGTTAGAAACAATATTGAGTATAATGCATTTGGATCATACCTCATTTTTATGCCCCAGTGCCTACTACAATAGCAGTAAGTGTAAATGAGTAATGGATAAAAAAGATGATCGATGTGTTTATTTATTACTGAGAAAATAGGAACAATTAGGGCTTTGTCTGAGATCATATGGAGTCTTAATATATTTTTGAAATTGCTAGAAGTGTTAAATAGCAAATATAGAGTATGTATCCTGTTGGTTTTTTTAAAAAATGTAAAATTTCTGTAATAAATTTGTTTGCTTATCTCTCACTCGGGACAATCAGTACATAGGGTGAAAGAAAAATAATATATCTATTTGGATACTAATTGCATTTTACTAAAAGAGCTAGAATTCTTTGCCAAGATTCTGAGGGACAGTAGTGTCACAACCAAGTGTACATAAGGGCAATTTAACTGAAACATCTTCAGTATTTCTGATCGCTGGTGATAATCTACTTGATTAATGAGCATCTGTGTCCTTGCTCAGTGCTCATGAGTGTTCCTTTTGCTTTGCTACACGATACCAGGGGATGACTTTTGCAGATGGAGGATAAATATTCTTCAGTCAACGATATAGAAAATGAAGTTAAAAAGGAAGGAGAAAACTTTGTAATACGATTGCAGCACATTTGCATTTCATCATCATTTACGTGCTTCACTTTCTGTATATTTCTAACTAGCAATCTGTATTTCTGCTGTCAGGAATCTATGCATTGCAAACTCAGACCTGTGTGAAATGATGAAATTTTGCTTCCTGAATTTTAAATGCAAAATCTGGCATGCTTATTTGCATGTGAGTAAGTTTGTGGTTAAGCCACATTTCTCTTCAGTGATGTTTAAAAACATTTAATTATGAACCAAGAAAAATAAAATTTAAATAAATCAAATTGATACTTTTTTTTACACAAATTAGTTGCATTTTTGGTTGTTTCCTCCTGTTTGCTTTAGCAAACATTGTTTCCTCACCATCTCCCATCCATCAGTCTCCAGTCTCTGCATTTGGGTCTCACACAGTCTCTGGCACCCTCACCCTTCTTTTCTTTACCATTCAAGTTCTCCATATTTTATAAGATTGAACGTTTGCTTTTTCTTCTTCCCAAAAGCCTTTCAGAAACGTTTCAGTCCTACATACATTTTCTTTTTGCCCCTGCAGTCAGTCCTCCTTACTACTCCTTAGTTGTTCTAAATAAATATGTATCTTATGTCGCTACAATAGTAATGAGGCTTTTAATGACAAGGGCTATGCCTTCTAATTTTTCAGTGTTTTAAGTTTCATTAAACTGAATAGTAAGAACAAGATTCAACAGATATTTTTGAACTGAAATAGATGGACCTTGAAAAATGCACTTTATATTAGAAAAGCTGTTATCAAAAGCTTTATGAAAAATAATTTAAGACTGAGGAGGGATAAAATTATCACGGCAGCTTAACAGAGCCTACTAAATTGGGAGCTGCCGTTGTGATTACAGAAATTGCATACCCCAATGAGGAGATTAATATAGAACACACTGTTTTGGTTATCTTTTGCTGAATAACACACCTCAAAACTTAAACTAACAACAGCCATTTGTTGTCTTTCGTGGTTTTATGATCTGTCTGAGCATGTTTGAATAGATCTTCTGTTCCACGTGGCATTGACTGGGCCTGCAGTCACCTGGAAGCCACCTTTATTGATCCACCCGAGGTGGCTGACTCGTGTGCCTGACAGTTCAGTAATGACTGCTGGCTGGGGACTCAGCCGAGCTTGTAACTTAAGGAGCCATCGTTCTCACCTGGGTGGCCTTTCCCTGTGGTTTTAGGGATAGTGGTGTCTCCCTCCCTCTTAGCAGAGGGGACCGCAATCTGCAGCTTAGATTTTCCACAGAATAACAATTATATTCTAAAACAGAGTGTTAGAGTGTGTAAAGTAGAAACCACAGATCTGTTAGGGGTTCAGCTTTAGAAGTTACACAACGTGACTGCCACCACATTCTGCTGGTTAAAGCAAGTAATAAGGACAGACAAAGAGAAATAATAGATACCATTTCCTAATAGGAGGAACTTGCTGTCGTCCTTAATCAGAAACATCATCTCTTTGATTTTCAACTAAAATCCTGGACATTCACTAAATGACTACCTAATTAGCTGATACTTTGAAGTTAGGCTTTTCAACTTTAAAAAGTTAATGTAAATGACTGACCTGGATTCTCCATCTTGCAATGTTAAATTGCTCTTAGATGATTAAAATACTATTTTCAGCGACGAATATTTTGTAACATGAATATGGTTTATCCGATTTGTGTAAAACAAGTATAATTACCTCTCTTCCTACACTTGCACTATCATATATATAACTTTAAATTTTTGGTCATCTTTACACCCCTCCACTGAAGAAGACAAATGCCAGAGACTTCTTATAGATTGTGAATCCTGTATGGTGGTCCCAGACAGCTCATCAAGCAGCAGCACATATCTTTAAAAGCTAGACTGGTTTCAGGTAATTGCCTATGTTTTTGTGTCCGGTTTGATGGGCCGAGCTGACATTTTTTCTGAGATTCCCATGAAGTCCGCTAAGGTGATTTGATGTTAATAGCTCTGTGAGTCCCTAAAATGTTAGGATATCATTGTATAGAAATCACAGAAAACAAAAAGTACCATCAGAAGGCTTCAGTGCTGAACTGAGAGTTAGCATATATTATCAGAGTTAGCAGTATAAAGAAAATGGTTAATTATTTGTGGTTTCTTATAAAAAGACTACCATGGTGGCTGGACTTAGAAAAATAGCATTTTTCCATCAGCACCTATAAACCAAATACTATAAAGATTGTTTTAAATTTTCTTTTAGACTGACCTTATGACTTAAAATGTACACTTTAGAGAAAAATATACAAATAACTATATTATAATACTTATATATAATTATTGGATATATTACTAGCTTAGGGAAACAAAAACACCTTATTAAACTACTTTTATAATTCATACTACATTTTTATCATTTAGTTTTTTAAATTCTTCATTTTGAAATAAATTCAGACTTACAAAAAGCTGCAAAATTAGTCACAGTTTTCTTATACACCTGATATTCAGTCTCCCAAAATGTTAAAGTCTTACATAAACACAGTATGATTATCTAAGCCAGAACATTAATAGTGATACAATACTGTAAAGTAATCTACAGGCCTTGTTTAAATAGTATTAATTGTCCCAGTATACAATATGAGATCACAAACTGAATTTAGTTATCATGTCCATTGAGCTTCTTTTAATCCCAGAAAATTTCTTAAGTTGAAGTCATTGCTATCTGTGGTGAGAGAGTGAAAAAAAATTTTCTGAAAAGATATGCGACGTTACTATTTTTTACAGCGTTAATTCCCCTTCATGTATTAGGATCCCAAAAACCTTGCAAAATTGCTTTTCAGTCCCCAAAATAGCTTCTTACAGATAAAAGATATCCAAGGTAATTTAACCATTTCAAGGACATAAGTCTGGCCACTAGATGACAATAGAGTCCTTTTCTATTTGTCAGGATTTCTTTCAGTCTTTCAGTTTAAGGACTACCACTGATGGCATCTTAAGCAAAGGCTTTATAATATTCTAATACTATTTGGAGATGACACATTGTCTTATAATTATCTGTTTTCGTGTGTGTCTCCCCTGTTACACTGTGAAGTACCTTATGAAACTGGTCATCTCTTATTTATTCTTACATTCATGATATCCAATACTACGGCCAATACATAATGATTGTCAGTACATGCTTAGTATATGCATTGAATAATGGATATATACTCAATATATATATCCATTATACCTTTAAAAACAACTGTCAAACAAAATAAGGATTAATTAGTTGCCAAATGTTTTGTGAATACTCTCTGCCATTTCATGCTGTTTCTCAACAGAATTGAGAGTTATATTTAAACCAGTCCTTTACAGACCGGTTTGGAGTTCTTTATTGGTCGGACGCTCTGGAAAACAATGCTTAGTGATTGTTGAGTCCTAGTATTGGAGGGACTTTGACTCCTGCGATCCTCTTCATCATCTTTCAGCCAATGGTGACAATAAAATCCAGGTTCAGATCAGTTAAATGTAAACAGAAGTACACTGTGGGCTTCTTGTGGCGCTTTTGCTTTTTTAACGTAGACTTCATCTCGTTCCGTTTTACCTTTCCATTGAAGTGAGTGCCATATTTATAATGAGCTTTACAACGAGCTGCTGCATTAGACATCTTGTGGATCATGGGAGACACGAGTGAAAGCCAACTACAACAGTCAAGGTCAAAGGTCCACTTTTATTGAGCTACTGAAGAAATGACAGCAATTGCCTACATCTGGAACGTTTGTGAGGTACATACAGCCCTGTATGTTTGTGCCACTGTATCTGGGCTTTCTGTTTCTTAAAAGCTTGATTCATTCCAAACGGATTAAAAATCTATAAGTAATTTGGAAGGTAATGCTTCTACTCTTTATTAGCCAGCTTTTAAATTCCATGAAGCAGCCACCATGTTTATCTTTACATTAACTTTTAGTCATTAGTAGAAGGCCTTGTACATATTAGAGGAGTGAAAAATATTTGCTTAGTAAATTTATGAATGAATGATTTCTGAAATTCCTAGGCAAAGCTTATTTTGAATTGAAGTAGTCTCTTTTTAAGATCGCATTCTTACTCAGAAATAAATAAATATATAAGTAAATAAATAAATATTTCAGGAATCAATAAAAATTACAAAATGAAAAGACAACCTACTGAATGGGAGAAAATATTTGGAAATGATATAGCTGATAAAGGGTTATTATCCACATATATAAACCGCTTATACAACTCAACATGAAAACAAACCACCCAATTAAAAAATGGGCAGAAGAACTAAACAGACATTTTTCCAAAGGGGTAATGCAGATAGCTTAACAGCTCCATGAAAAGGTACTCAACATTGCTAATCATCAAGGAAATGCAAATCAAAACCACAATGAGATATCACCTCACACCTGTCAGAATGGCTATCATCAAAAAGAACATAATTAACAAATGTTGGCAAGGCTGTAGTGAAAAGAGAACCCTTCTATGCTGTTGGTGGGAATGTAAGTTGGTGCAGCCACTGTGGAAAACAGTAGGGAGGTTTCTCAAAAAACTAAAAATAGAACTACCATGACCCAGCAAGTCCACTCCTAAGTATATATTTGAAAAAAAAACAAAAACAAAAACAGTAATTTGAAAAGATACAAGCACCTCAATGTTCATAGGAACATTATTTACAGTTGTCAAAATATGGAACCTAAGTGTCAATCAACATATGATGGATAAAGAAGATGTGATATATACAATGGAATACTACTTAGCCATAAAAAAGAATCACATTTTGCCATTTGCAACAACATGGATGACTTGGAGGGTATTATGCAAGTGAAGTAAGTCAGACAGAAAAAGAGAAATAGTGTACAATATCACTTATATGTGGAATCTAAAAAATATAACAAACACTTGAATATAACAGAAAAGAAGCAAACTCACAGATATAGAGAACAGTGGCTACAAGTAGGTAGAAGGGAGAAAAGAGGAGCAATATAAGGGTGGGTATTAAGAGGTACAAGCTATTAGATATAAAGTAAGCTACAAGGATATACTGTACAACACAGGGAATATAGACAATGTTTTATAATAACTGTAAATCAAGTATAACCTTTAAAAATCATGAATCACTATATTGTTCACCTGTAACATATATAATATTGTACAACAAATGTACTTCAATAAAACATTCATCAGAAGTGATACTTGCTTTTTAATTTTTTTCCTGCGCATGACTTTAAAGATTGCCTATGGTCTACCAGTTATTTCTTGACTAATTAATAATTGTATATTCTGATTGAACTGTCTTCAGTAAATATAGAGTAGTGAAGCCTCCCATCATCTCTACACTGATAATAAATGATACCTTACTTTGTGGCTTAACCCAAGACTGTTGGGATAAAAATGCCAAACCATCTAGATTTATTAAATATTCCACTTATTAAGGGTGAGTAGAGCAGTTTCTCCTTTGTTATCTTTATTCAGAAAAGCTTGGTGCATGAAAGGTTAATAGGTAAAGCAGATATGGGAAGATATACGTTAGATGTTGATTCTGAGATGTGTTAGGGTAACAAAAGAAGCAGCAGAAAATTAAATGCTAGAGGAAGCATTTACCATTTTTTCTTGTATTCTTTCAATATACATTTATTGCACAAAATACATTTGACATTTTTCAGTGTCAACAAATCAAATAAGTAAGTTATAGTGCCTTTTAGGAGACTGGGCAATACAAAGTTCCCACTGGGTCAATAATTTTTTTTCTAGGAAACAGGAGCTAAGTGCTAAGGTGCATCTAAGAATGGAAGCATACAACAGCCCAATGCCATTCTGGTTGTTGATCAATGCCAGTAAACAGACTACAGGAGGATGTGGGGAGGCTAAAAAACTGAACCAAATATGTAAACCAGAAGTTAGTGAGACAGAAACAGCATTCGAACTGCTTGATGGGACTTTCTATCCTATTACCTCTGATCTTTGAAGAATATTTAGACCCACCCAGTTGGATTTAGAGTGAATGTAACAGTTTTCCTTTCTTTTCTTAGATAAACGAATTGCTGAAAAATAAAGCATAATGAAGATTCTTCCCAGAATTTGTCATTCTGTTACTTAAATTTAATGACTTGATTTTTATAATAGACTTATTTTTTAGATCAGTTTTAGAATTACAGAAAAAAAGTGAGCAGAAAGTACAGAGTTCCCCATATAATTCCTTGTTCCTACATGCACAGTTTTTCCTATTAACATCTTACATTAGTGTGGTACCTTATTACAATTGATAGAGCCATATGATACATTATTATTAACTAAAGTTCATCATTTATACTAGGATTCACTTTTTGTGTTGTACCTACTGTCTGAGTTTTGACAAACATGCAGTGACACGTATTCACTATTACTTTACTGGATGGAATAGCTTCATGTTCCCCAAATCCACTGAGCTCCACCTCTGCATCTCTCTCTGCCTCTCCCTCTGTAACTCTGGCAACCACTCATCTTTTTACTTTCTCTATAGTTTTGCCTTGTTTAAAATGCAATATAGTTGGAATTATAGAGTATATAAGCTTTTCAGATTGACTTTGACTTCCTTCACTTAGCAATATGCGTTTAAGTTTCCTCCATGTCTTTTCATGACTTGATAGCTCATTTCATTTTAGTGCTGAATAATATTCCGTTGTCTGGATGTACCACAGTTTATTTATCCATTCTCCTACTGAAAGATATCGTTGAGTGCTTCCAACTTTTGACAATGACAAATAAAATTGCTATAAACCTCTTGCACAGGTTTTCAGGTGGTGTATGTTTTAAACTCCTTTGGATAAATATTGAAGAGTGCAGTTGTTGGATCATACAATAAGAGTATATTTAGTTTTGCAAGAAACTGCCTAACTGTCTACACTTTTGCATTCCCACCAGCAATGAATGAGAGTTCCTGTTGTCTACATCCTGGCCAGAAGTTGGTATTATCAGTGTTTTGTGTTTTACCCATTCTAACAGATGCATAGTAATAACTCATTGTTATCTTTGTTTGTAATTCCCTGGTATGATGTTGAGCATCTTTTCATATGCTTATTTGCCATCTATATATCTTCTTTGGTGAGTTTTCAGAACTTTTGACCAGTTCTTAAGTGGGTTGTTTTCTTATTGTTGAGCTTTAAGAGATCTTTATATACTTTGGATACCAGGACTTTATCAACTATGTATTTGCAAATATTTCCCCCCCCCCTCTGTGTTTTGTCTTTTTTGTTTATTTGTCAATGATTTATTCTTCAAGAAAATAAATTTGAAGACCAACAATATAACAATTTTAAGCTGTATTCATAATTTGTAGAGATTGTCCACAGTAATAAAACATTATGTCACTATAATTATTTATATGGCTAAGGAAATATAACAAATAATAAAATTAATAATATAACTATTTCTGGGAAAATTATCTCCCATTATTTGAAATAATTTCTGAAAAATTGTGTGCTTTGTGGTAGTGATGGCTATTGGTATTGTTGATTAATAGAGGTAAAGACACAAGATGCTTCTAGGGTTTATTAGAATATAATGTTGTCATAACTGGTTTGTAACTATGAACGCTTCCTTGTTTCTAAACATATACATGGTAAGCTGAGGCTTGCAACTTTTTCACAGTGTTGCAGATGAGAGTAGGTTTCATGAACTATTGATAAACAACCTTTTTAATATTGAAAAATAAGAAATATAATAATGCAAAAAGTGTTAATTCTATGTAATTTATACTAACTGGCCCAATTATTGATTGATTTTGGTCAAGTAACTGAGAATACAGCTATATTAAGCAGGATTCCCTGTTGCAAGGCAAGCTAGCTGTCTCTGGCTGATTTAAGGAAACCAAATAAACATTGTAACATATTCATTGCTCAGTGCGACAGAGACAGATAGCTATTGAACAGATTTTGTACTTTCTATTCTACTGAATGAGATGTTCCTGAGAAATTGCTATACATTTTGGATTAGATCTCCTTTCAACTGTGAATCCATGTCGGTCTGGTACCTGGATCTCAGCAAGGAACGTGAGCATAAGTGATGTGTGTCACTTCATGGAAAGGCTTTAAAAATAGGGGAACTTCATTCTCGTTTGTTCTTGCTTTAACAGCAGATGCTGACAAAGTCCTCTTGGTGATACAGCATCAAGATGGAAACGGCCCAAGCCATCCAGTGACCAGAACACCCTTGAAGCTTACTGAGTTGGTGAGAAATTAACTTGTATGTTTTAAACCACTGCAGTTTTGAGTGTTTTGTTCAAGCAGCCACAGTTATCTTAACTGATATATGCATAGATTTGCTGGAATTCTAGCTGATCAGACTTGGAAAACTGGCAGCAATAATGGAAAAGTAAAAGTGAAAACCACAGCCTAGTCTCACCACTGAATCAGTTGGGTGAAGATACTTATGTTTTCATAGCTGAACACTGGGAACTGTGGCTTTGATTGCCGTTGGCGCTGGACGCTGGGTTTGGCTACTGGCTCTGCTGCCCCGGGACACCAGGATACTTGAAGTTGCTGAAGTCTCTGCAGTTACTGTTAGAATTTGCTTTCTATCACCTTTGAGTTGTTATGTAAATAACTTCTGACTCAAAGTCCCAGGTAGAATTGGATGTGCTTGTGTCACATATAGGTGTCAGGCTGCAATGTTGGGTGTTGGAAGGTTCTGGAAAAATGAGTATCTGCCCTTTTCAGCCTTCATAATGGGAGGTGATCACCTAGACTCCTATGCTGGAGAGTCATCTGATTATCAGTAGATTATTCAGATGCACACTAAGCTAGCATTTAATTTTGAGAAGTATACTAGTTATTTATTATTATACATCAATTTTGAGAAGTGTACAAGTTATTTATTACTGCATAACAAATTAACTCACCATAGGAAAGACTGAAACAATAAGTATTTTGTATCTCACAGTTTCTATGAGTTAGGAATTCATGAACAACTCAGCTGAATGGTCCCATCTCACGGCCTCTCATGAGAGACCTGACAGGGGCTGCAGGAATCTGCTGGCTTGACAAGAAATGGAGGATCTGCTTCTAAGATGGATCACTCACAGATCTGTTGGCAGGAAGCATCAGTCCCCGGTGATGCGGGCCTCTTCCTTGGCTACCATGTGTCCTCATGACATAGCAGCTGGCTTCTCCTCGACTGAGTAATCAGGGGAGTGGGAGAGAGGCAGATACCACAATTTCCTTAATGACTTATCCTCATGAGGCATCCACCATCACTTCTGTCATATTTTCTAGGTCACACAGATCAAACATGGGACCAGCGTCACAGAGGACTACACAGTGATGTGAATATCAGAAGGTAGGGATCATTGGGTGCCATTTTGGAGTGTGGCCATCATAGGAAGAGTGGAATTCATTTAGTCGCTGTATACAATTTCCATACAGAGTTCTAATCATGGAGTCGGCACGTTTCAAAAGAAAGGAGGTTATTTTATTGGTCCAGGTACCACCAAATATTCTTCTGAGTTTAACTCTTTAATTGATGTATCTACTGATTTCTGGGATTCTAATCAGTTTTGGTGGGAAGAATAGCTTTTATTCAGCGTTTTAAAATGAGTGTTAAAAACATTGCTGATCACTTCCTTCATATTTCCAAGGCAATATCAAGCAAATAGGCTGGTGAGGACTGGTAAGAGTGAAGAAGTGAGAAGGAAGTTGATGCTGTTCGGTGGTCTGGATGACAGTTTAAACACATCAGGTGATGCCAATGCCTGAGGGGGGGGAAAATACAGAACTATACTGAGTAGCCAAAATAAATGATGGCCATTTAGGACCAAGGGTTACCTCCTTGCCCTTTCCTGATGTGAAGTATGTATTTTGGGAAAATGCCTGCAGAAGAAACAGTGCTTAGTCGGAGCAGAGTGAACAAGGAAAAATGTAGAAGGATAAGTGGCATAAAGTGAAATGGGGGACCAGATCATGTATGGTTTTATAGACAATTGCAAAGACATGGAATTTTACTTTACTATTAGAAGATTTTGGATAGATTTCAGTAAATGAAAAATGTTAAAAATGCTTTAAGGAATAAAGGTAAATGCAGAGAAATGGAAAAAGAAGAAAATGAATTAATAGAAGCAAGAAATGATGATTAATTGAACTGTAATAATATCTTGGAGTTGACAAGGGGAGGATGAGGTACTAGATATATTTTGATGGCAGTTAACATAATTTACTTCTGAACTGGATGGGAGGTGTGAGGGAAAAAGATAAGTCACAGATGACATTAGGATGTTTGCCTTGAGCTCCTAAAGTAAAGGAAACATTTTTAAAGAAAAACTGTCTTTTATTAATCATGAGGAGAATCAAGAGATTGGTTTTGAACCTGTCACATTTATAAGTTAAGCTAAAAATCCAGAAAAATTCCGAATAGGCAATCTGATACACCAAACCTGAGCATTCTGAGGGTTACAAGAAGAGGAAGGAGAATCAGAAAAAAATACTGAGTATGACAAGGTGGAGTCTCAGAAACCAACTGTAGAAAGTGAGTCAAGAGAATAGAACCATTAAATTGTGCTAAAAGGTTGAGTATGGTGAGAACTGAGTTTTCTTTAGTCACTAACTCACTTGACAAGTTTTGTTCTAGATGAGTAGAGATTACAATCCTGCTGGAGTGAGACCAAAGAGAATTGGAAAAGATGAATAAGAAGGAGCAAGGAACTGTGCTGTACAGGAGAGTAAATATAGAGGAGGAAGAGAGAGAGAGGGAGAGAGAGAGAGAGAGAGAGTTTCGTCTGTTTGCAAAAAGGAGAACCCAAAGGCCATGTAGAGGTGTTTGGTATCTAATTAGTTTGTGAAGTTGAGGCTCTTTATTTATACTTACTATTTACTTATTTAATCCTTCCTTGGTTTTCATTGAGGGATAGTTTACATGTAACTAAATTTTCATTCCAAGCAGCTGAGACAAAATAGAAGTAAGAAAAAGACTGATTCTGTTGAAAAGTCATAAGAAATTCTCTTAAAAAACTCACAAATACATGGTATGTAGTTTAAAAATTTAAATACAAGTCTTAAATGTTTCAAAGTTTTATTCATGTATTTGTCCATCAAAAATGTTGTTTTAGGGACAACAAATTCAGGATTTCAGGGTGGGACAAATTCCACTGGCTTCTGGTACAGAGTTTCTCAATCTGTGAGCCATGGGACCCCTGGGTATTTTGGTTAGGAGTCCACAAAATCTGGTAAAAGCATTTCATTGTCTGCAGACCAATAAATGAAGGCATTGTACCTTTAATATGTGATATAATAATGATATAAAGATTTGGAACCACAATTTACAGCCATAAAATATGCATATCTATCCCATTCTTAGTCTGATTAATTTATAAATTCATCCAACCATACTCTTTGAGTTTCCAATTTTGTACAAAGCAATGTACACAAATGAAAAAAATGCATTAATCCTAAAGAGTTGTAATTTGTATGTTGTGCATTGAAATAGGCTTTCAAAGTTATCTGAATAGAGTTTTATTGGGATCTGGTATCTTTCTGCAGGAGACAAATTAGTTCAGAGCCTATCTTGACTTATATAGCAATTGCTTTTTCATCAGTTAGAAGTTACAATTTACTACACTTTCTTACTTGCATTATCTTGGTTTGGGAATCAACATTAGCAACAAGACACTCTGATCATGAAAATCCTAGTGTTCACTGCCGAGATAATAGCCAAGAAAGGGGACAATCCTTACCTGAGAAAAAACGCACACATAGCAGCTTTTGTCTTAGCCAGCAGAAAAACAGGAAATAGATGAGTTTCCTTCTCTTTGTTCCCACAGCTTTACAATTGTTTCCCTGCATACAATATAAAGCAGATAAGTTTCTGATTACACAGAAATTGATTCATGTTATTTAGGGGATTACATTATATTTTTAGGATTATATCATGTTACATTTTTATTGTGAACATTTGTACAATAAAGAATGGCTACATCTTAAAGAAAAAAATACAATACACATTGACTTAATTCTTTGAAAATGATAATAAGCATTTCCTATTATTTATAGGGAACATTGTAGTTCCTACATTTAATTTATTCTTTAACTTGCTATAATTTGGATTCCTCTCTTAGCATCCTAGCTGTCTAAACAGCTTTTAATAAAAGTTGCTGTTGAACTTCTAACTCTCTCCTTCTCTTTGCTTTTAATTTTTAATATCCAGGGAAAGTGTCTGGCATTTTACACTTTCTACACAACTCTTCCTTCTGAGGACTTCCTACTGTCCCAGCTTCTATGACACCACCACTGCCAAATCTCCTACCTTTCTGAGTCATCTTTCTCGGTTTCTTACTTATTTATCTTCTTAGATTTTTTAAAAAAATTTATAATTTTTTGATTTTTTTGTTTATATTCTTTCTTGATCTTTAGATATTTTTTAATTCTAAAGGCTTTTGCATTCAGGTGATTTTTTTTTTTTTACATTAAAAACTCTACCAGTTTCTTAACTTTAACTACTTTAACTTTGCATTTCAATCACCTAGGGAGATTTTTACAAAACAGGATTACTTGCCCCACCCAGAGATGTTGCTTCAGAATTTCTAGGGTGGGTCCTGGGTGTTTATATATTTTTGTAAAAACTCCCTAGGTAATTTTAAAGTGTAGCCAGATTGGAGAACCAGGGTTATTTACATTCTCCCGGAGTGACCTCATCCACTCATAAAGCTTCAACTACCTGCTCTACACAGAGGTCATAAATATGTATCAGCTGCTCCAGCTTCTCTCCTGAGCCACAGGCTTATTATAGATAATTGCTCAGTTTGGATTCCTTCCTTCCTTCACTCCCTAAATGTGTCTTGTTGCTGCCAAGTGCTAGGCGCTCTGCTGGACAAAGGGATTCAGAAAAGAGCTAGCTGCTCTTCCTGCTCAGGGGACTGAAGTCATATACGAAATGAAGACAAACAATTAGACAACCAAATACTGCGTTGTCATAGCCAGGACAGAGGAAGAGGAGAATGCAGGCTACACACCTAATCTCCATTAGGCAGACTTTTAGAATTTGGGGGAATTTTGCCTCAGGTATGTACAAAAGATAAATTATGTCTCAAAAAATGGAAATATATCTTCCAGGTACAAAAGATGTGGTGATGTGGGGAGGAGAGGATTATTCACAAGAATAGGGACCATTAAAAAAAAACCTGAGGTCTTTGGAGAAGTACACGGTTTTCTTTGGTAGAACTTTTTCCTCTTCCTGATTTCCCAGTGAAATAGTGTTATTTCAAAACCAGACTTCATAGAACAACTATATCAATCAGTTAAAGGGTTTTAGTCAAGATTTATGTAGAAAGTTTTATATTTATGTCCTCAAAAACAAAATAATATGTGGAAGTTACATTCTAAAACACAGTTGGTAAACTCAGATTCATGTGTAGATATTTTAAAAACCACATTGAATATAAACAAAGGGAACATACATCTTCACTGCTGCTGGTCCTGAGAGGGGCTGTCACACTCCCACATGCAGTCTGTGACTCTCTGTCACTGTGCACTTTCTCATCATCTTGAGTATTTCATCTCTTTCATATTTAGCTTCTGCTTTTGCGAGAGTTGTGAGAGTAATGTGTCACAAAGTTATTTCAAAAAACGTTGAAAAGAATTCATAAAGAAAATAGCAAGGGCCACGACGAAAGGGACTAAAATGGAAGCACCACAGCACCGTCCAAAGAAAATGACTCCCAGGAACTAACACAAGCAAAGCTGCATTTTGCAGTTCTTCCATGCTAGAGCGTCGACCATGTGCCCTGAAGACCTCCCAGCCTGTCATGTCATAGAAGTCTTTCGGATGCACCCAGATAACGGAGACCGGAGTTCCTCCGAATCTGATAATCAGCCTAACACGTTCCTTTCAGCACTCAGCTATTCAGCATCATACACGTTCTTTTACAGATTTGGGGGATTAGAATTCACAAATCATGCACTTAGCCTATTCATGGTGTATGATTCAATCTTCTTTATTCACAAAGTTGTGCAACCATCAGTCACCACAATTTTAGATTTTCATTTCCTCAAAAAGAAAACGCACCCTACTTAGCCCCCAGCTCCTAAGTAATAACTAATCTGCTTTCTGTCTCTATAGATTTGCCCACTCTAGATGCTTCGTAGAAACAGAGTCATCAATACACGGTTCTTTGTGACTGGCTGCTTTCACTTAGCATGTTAGGGTTCACCCACGTTGTAGCATGCATCTGTATCCACTCCTATTTCATGTAAAAATTTTAGTTTATTTTTAGTGATCTCATAGCTGCTTTAGTAAAACTGACTTCCATTGGAATCAATGAATTTAGCTATTTTCTTGTGGTAAAATACATACAAGATGTACCATTTAAATCATTTTAAAGTGTACAATTCAGTGGCAGTAAGTAATTGCAATGTTGTGCAACCAATATATGTTACTGTGTAAAAGTCAACTGCTTGTTAATAAACAAATTGATTGTTTAGCAATGGAGATGTTTTAAGCATGTGCATACTAACATTATCAATTATTATAAATCCACGTTTTTATTACATTTTCCAGAAATTGGTTAGGGATTTTAGCTTGATAAGTAACTGAACTGTTGATTCTTTTTTTTCCAATGGGAAATGGGGTCCTAATTAGCATTTTCATACATTGTCTAATTTTAGGGAAAGGATTACTCATGTTACTTTGAAAAGCCAATGTCTTGTCTTTATCATACCCAGAAAACAGAACTTCAAGGTAGTGGCCTGTTGAGAGAAGACGTGGACAAGTGTGTTAGATCATAATGAATTGTATCTACCATGATAAAAAATAATGTATAAAGATGGCTCTGGAAAGTCTTTGAACGATCTTAGTGATATGAATTTATTTGAACTTAGAAGGTTTGTTCTGCTGTCAGTGTGAAGACAGGATGAAAGGGGCAATCCTGGAGGCAGTGGCAGTAGCTAAAAGGCTGTAGCAGAAATCTATGCAAAAAATTCTAAGACATTTTACAGAAGCAAAGAAAAGGAGGATAGAAAATAGGTGGTGGATTTTAGAAGGGTTTCGGGAGTCGACACAAGTGTACAGAAGGCCAGGAGGGGCAGTGGGGAGCATAAAGTATTTGTGTCCAAACTGGGAAAATTTTCAAAGTTAAAGGGGTCACTATTGTTAACTACACTGGTGAAGCACACATAGTCTGTGTGTCCTGAGGAAAACGAGGACCTATAACCATCATAATGATGTATCATGGAAAATAATAAAAGAAAATATCTCACAAAAGCATATCTGTGTCAGGCACTGTGGTAAATGTACCCCACGGGTTATATCACATAATCCAAATACCTATCCCCTTCTTATGCCCAGTTTACAGATGATGAAACTGAGACCAGATAAATTAAGAACTTTCCAAAAGTGACATTTGAACATCTGCCTTTCTGATTAGAAGGCATAGTCCCTTAATGACTGCATTATTGCCCTGTTATTTTGAATAACTGATAAAGGAGTAACTCTTCCTCAAAATAACATGCCCAAACTAAATTAGTACTAATATCTTGACAGGTGTAATCACCCTCATCATGAGTTGGAGGTAAGGCTGTTGTTGTAACTGAGCAGAACCCCCGGGGGCCTTCCCAGGACGGACCCCTTCCCCCATACCCACTGCTGTGTCTCCTCTCTGAAGTACCCAGGTAATAGTATCTCAAGCATATTTTCTAAGTATTTCAGATGCTAAAATACACCACCAAATGGAAGAAATTAACTACTTGATGAGCATAAGCATGCAGCCCCCAGACCTTCTGGTGCCTAAGGATCTATCACCCCCAGCCAATCAGAGAATTGTGCACAGCGGATCACACACCCTGGGCTGTGCAGTTGGCCTTTAAAAATGCTCAGCTGAAACTCTTTGGGGAGTTAGTAGAGGGGTGGTTTTGAGCATGAGCAGCTTGTTATCCTTGTTCGGCCCAGCGATAAGCCCTTCTTGCTCCAAACTCTGACGCTTTTTTGGGGCCTCATTGTGCGTCAGGCATAGGAACGTGCCTTCAGTACCATTGTTACACTCTGGGATAAGGGAGAAAATTGTTCAGCGCTCTTGTGATCCATCTGAGCTCTTCTGGGCTTCCCCTGGCCCAATTTTGATGGCAAATGGACAAGTGTAGCAACCCCAGTCAGAAAAGAGCATGGTGACAGCGTGCTGGGCTCCCTCGTATCAGGCCCCCAGGCAAACAGCTGAGACCAGAAGAGGTGCAGAGGTGAGGGGGCTCTGGACCGGGAACTTGGGAGGAAGTTGAGCCCCTGAGACCGGCTAGGGTGGGGGGCGCTGCTCTGTGCCCCGCTGACTTTTGTAAGTTTCCTCCAGGGATTTTCTTTTTGGGTAAGAAGGAGAAAGTCCACTTCACCTGTCTGTACGACTGATTGCAGGTAGAAAACCTGGACAGAAGGCACAGAACAGCTATCTGAGGGTCTGAAAAGGAAAAATAGCAAGGAGGCTGGGGACAGAAAACCAGCATTCAGAACCTGGGGTAAGTACACCTTTGTTTTTGTGTTACTTTGTTTCCTCTAGCCTAAACTCAATGTCGTCTGACGCACAGACATGGCCACTGGGACACAGACAGGCACAGAGCCAAGAAGCCCTCTAGCTCTGGCTGGAAGAACACAGAAACCCCTCTATTCTTTCCTTTCCTCCATTCTCTCACCCCAGGCCATCCTGCGGGGGCAGTGGCAGCTCGGTTGGCAGGATTCCCCAGGAGCTAAAATTCCAAGGAGGGAACTGGTGCCTTAAGAGAGGGGTGAAGCCCCACTGGCGGCTTTCTCCCCTGCTCTCCTGCCGCTCGAGCCCAAGTGCAGATGCAGTCGGTCGTGGAAAGGCGTCCTGGATTACTGGTGGGCGCCAGAGTGGGCCACTAATGCTGCATCTTTCCGGCTGGAATAATGAAAAAGGGAGCCCTAGAAAACCAGAAGGTACTGGAGAGACTGTGGAGAGGGGGCTGCTCTGGGAGAGCAGACCCCATGAAGCTGTGTATCAAGTCCTGGGCTCACTCCTGGGCCACACGTGCAGGGGCCTTCTCCTCATCAGAATAGCAAAGCCTGGCAGCCGGGACTAACAGGCTCCCCACTGGCCAGGGGAGAGGCCCGAACAGTCCCTCAAAGACTTGGGACACTGAGGTGACACTGGAACCGCAGTCTGCGGAAGGCGGTTGGAATTGTGACCTGAAGAGGCTTTGTATCTGAGAGGAAAGACATTCTAGTTAGAAGATGAAATGGGTCCTCAGTTCCACAAGGCACTAGATTAGAGACAAGCCCAAGATAAGCATACAACTTGCTCAAATGACCAGCTGGACAAGATGCCCTCTCTAACAGAAAAAGAGATTTATATTTAAATCCACCTTCAGAAATAAACTAGCAATTGTTGCGCTGTCGGAAATGTGTTTAAGTAGGAATATGAGAAACATAAAAACAAATAAATAATCACATCTGATCTGCTAACATTTTTCCGGATGTTTGGAATACCATTTTATGAAATGCATTTAATAATTGAAATCCCAGAACATCAAAAGCATTTTAAAATTACAGGTCAGATTAAATGTACTAAACACTTAATCCTAGAGGTTTGTGCTTTTGTATAGAAAGCATACTTCCAAATATTTAAAGTTTTAAAAACATAATCATATACATTTAAAAGCACACATTTTTGCTTGTGAGTTATATTTTGGTTTTGAAGTGCAAATAAATGGTTACTAATTAATGGTACTCAATTTTCTTTTTTTTCCTAAGAAGATATTGAAGGAAACACTAGATATTAATTGGAGAGCTGAATGATTTCCCAAGGAGAATAATTATTTATTCATGAATGATACAACATACAAATTATTTCTGGCACACTAGAATAGGGCTTACTTTTGAACTTCAGGTAGAGACTAATAATTTTCCCTTTTGAATCTAATTATAAGTGCCATTTCAAAACCTATTTTTACTTCTGCTTCAGTTTAGTGATATTTTTGATTTCTAATAATTGAAATATATTTAAAGATGCAAAAGGTAAACAAGATAGAGGTTGACCTTTCTCATTTTATAAGTTAAGGATGTGTTTTCCTGATCTGTTTTCTCACATTCACCAGGAGGAAAAGAAGACACAATGTAACTGGTAATTGGTGAGAAATTAAATAAAATTGTCCTGTTTGGTGTGTATTTGTTGGGATGTATTTTAATACTGCTTCAGTTTCTTGAATGGCTTTTAATCTATCCAGATTTACTATTTCTTCTTGTTGATATTATGATATTGTTTATTTTTTAAAGAAAAGCCTCTCTTTAATCTATGTATCTTAAGATGCTTAAATTTATACAAAGGTTATATTTTAAATGTTAACTATGTAGATAAAATATTTTTTTATTATTAATGTTATTTCATTAAACAGTCTGTCATCTTAATTTTAGTCTGTAAGTAGTTTGCCAATTTTATTAATCTTTTCAAAATCTATATTTATTCTTTGTTCAATTTTGTGTGTAATTTTACTTTGTTATTTTGTTCCTCACTATGTTTTAATGAATTATTTTCTCACTGTTGCCTCTTGAATTCCACTTCTTCCTTCTGGCTTCATTTTTCTTTTTGTTGAAGGGATGATTTGTGAGTCTAAATATCTTAAGATATCTTTATGTTGTGTGCACTCTTAAGGATAATTTTATAGTATGTACAATTTGTATTTACATTTCTAATCTCTGAGCACTTTTCTCATGGCATCTACCTTAATGTTCCAGTAATTTTGAGTACTGTCTTTAATTCTCCATGTTCAGCAATTTTTCTATGATGTGTCTAGATACTAACTGAAAAATAATATCTGCTCTATATTCTGTGGATTTTTCAACTCATGAAATTTTTCAGCGTGTGGAATTTTTCCCTCATAGATTCTGGGAAAGGCACACTCACTACACATACAGTGTCATTATCTCATCAAATATCACTTGTCTGTGCTTTGTTATTAGAATATGTTGGGAGTTCGTGCTCCATCTTCCATATTTCTTAGTGTCTCTTTATTATCATTCATTTTTTAACTTCTCTGTGATGCATTCTTAGAGATTTCCATCATTATATTGTAATCAGTAAGTTCTCTTTCGCTACATCCAGTTGTTAAATTATCTTTTGGTTATCGTTTATCCAATATGTTAGCATTTTTACTGTATTTTTAACTTTCCAGTTTCTATAAAATTTGCCTTGTTTTTTGTTTCATTCTTGCCCTTTCACGTTTAATAAAATCTAGTTGTTTATAAACAATACTTCATTATTTATCTATGTAAAGATTATAGAGCTACTTTATGGTCTTTTTCAGATTACTGTATTATTCTTTTTTCTTTTTTTTCTTTTTTTTCTTTTTTTGGCATTTTGTTCAATCTGTTGAATGTCTTTCATGGAAGTAGATATTCTTTCCTGTTTTGCACTTCATGTGTAAGAGCTAATCTGCTGAGCAAGCCCCTCCCTGTATGGTGGTTTGGTGTTCACCTAAACCCTGGTCCTGTGGAATGTGTAGTTCTTCAGTTAGAAGCTTTGCCTTGGCTATGGGCGGTGTACTTTAGGTTTTGGTCCTGTGTCTTCACAACTTGGACAGTCCATTGGAGCTCTTCAGTCATCTTTTTTTTTATATTAAAAACAATTCCAATTTTAGACTTCATGAGTAGATGCCAATGATAATTTACTGCCAAATGCAAGGTGTTTGTCTTCTGTCCTCAGCTGGCCTTAGAGTTTTTATGCCATGTCTCACATCAGATCAGAGAATCCAGGCCTCATCATGGTGAGTTCATTTTTATTTTGACCAAGATAGTTCTTCCTTATTTTCAAACATGACTGTGTTCTTTAACCCAACAATTTTTTTGTACAAGTGTAGTTTGTGTACTATGGAATGTACTCATTTTAAACGTACAATTCATTGAGTTCTGACAAATGTATACACAGTCAAGATGTATAATATTTCCATGGTCACATAAATTTCCCTCATGGCCATTTTTATTTTTAATATAATTTTAAAAACAATTTCAAACTGTAATACAAATAATTTTCTTTCATAAACCACTTGAAAATATGTTAAGGGTAATTTCTTACAGGACTACAATACAATTATCAAAATCAGAAAATTAACACTAATACATTAGTATATCTAATCTTTAGATCCCACTCGAATTTTGCTAATTATCCCAATAATGTCCTGAATAACCAAAGGATACTGTTGAGAATCATTCCATTTAGTTATCGGGTCTTTATTGTCTCCTTCAGTCAGAAATGGTTCTTCAGTCTTACTTTGACTTATATGACTTCAAAATTTGAAGATGCATATCAGTTATTTTGTAGAATGCTGTTCAGATGAGTTTTGTCTCGTATTTTCTCATAATTAGATTTAGATGATACTTCACTGACAAGAATTCTAGACGAGTGATATGAATTCTTCTCATTGCATTTTTTTTAAATTGAAGTATAGTTGGTTTACAATGTTGTGTTAATTTCTGGTGTACAGAATAGTAATTCAGTTATACATATATAGTCCTTTTCATATTCTTTTTCATTATAGGCCATTACAAGGTATTAAATGTAGTTCTCTGAACTATACAGTAGGACTTTGTTGTTTATCTATTTTATATATAGTAGTTAGTGTCTGAAAATCTCAAACTCAAAATTTATCATTTCCCACCTCCTTTGCCCCTTGGTAACCATAAGTTTGTTTCCTAAGCCTATGAGTCAGGTTCTATTTTGTAAATTAGTTCATTTGTGTCATTTTTTTAGATCCCACATATAAGTGATATCATATGGTATTTTTCTTTCTCTTTTTGATTTATTTTGCTTAGTATGACAATCTCCATGTCCATTTATGTTGCTGCAAATGGTAATAGTTTATTCTTTTTATGGCCGAGTAATATTCTGTTGTGTGTGTATATATATATTTTTCTTTATCCAGTCATCTGTCAATGGACATTTAGGTTGTTTCCATGTCTTGACTATTGTAAATACTGGTGTTGTGGCATGCTTGTGTCTTTTTAAGTTACAATTTCTTCTGGATAGATGTCCAGGAGTTGGATAGCTGGATCATAGGGTAAGTCTATTTTCAGTTTTTTAAGGAATCTCCATACTGTCTTTTCATAATGGCTTCACCAAACTACATTCCCACCAACAGTGTAGGAGGGTTCCCTTTTGTGGACTTTTGAATGATGGCTATTCTGATTGGTGTGAGGTGATACCTCACTGTAGTTTTGATTTGCATTTCTCTGATAATTACTGATATTGAGCATTTTATCATGTGTCTATTGGCCATTTGTATGTCTTCATTGGAGAAATGTTTGTGTAGGTCCTCTGCCCATTTTTTGATTGGGTTGGTTGTTTGTATGTTATTAAGTTGTATGAGCTGTTTGTATATTCCAGAAGTTAAGCCCTTGTCAGTTTCATCCTTTGCAAATATTTTCTCCCATTCCATAGGTGGTCTTTTTGTTTTGTTTATAGTTTCCTTTGCTCTGCAAAAGCTTATAAGTTTAATTAGGTCCCATTTGTTTGTTTTTGCTTTTATTTCTGCTGCCATGATAGACTGCCCTTGGAGAACATCACTAAGATTCATGTCAGGATGCTTTGCCTATGTTTTCTTCTATGAGGTTTAAAATGTCTTAACTTATGTTTAGTTGTTTAAGCCTTTGAACTTATTTTTGTGGATGGTATGAGGGAGTGTTCTAACTTCAATGATTTACATACTGCTGTCCAGCTTTCCCAACACCACTTGCTGAAGAGGCTGTATATTGTATATTCTTGCCTCCTTTGTTGAAGATTAGTTGGCCATAGGTGTGTGAGTTTATTTCTGGACTCTATTCTGTTCCATTGATCCATGTGTCTGTTTTTGTGCCAATACCATGCTGTTTTGATTCCTGTAGCTCTGTAGACTTGTCTGAAGTCTGGGAGGGTTATTCCTCCAGCTTCATTCTTTTTCTTCAATATTGCTTTGGTAATTCTGGGTCTTCTGTGACTCCACATAAATTTTAAAATTATTTGTTCTAGTTCTGTGAAAAATGTCATGGGTAATTTGATAGGGATCACAGTAAATCTGTAGATTGTTTTGGGTAGTATGGTCATTTTAACAATATTAATTCTTCCAATCCAAGAACATGGGATATATTTCCATTTCTTTAAGTCATCTTTTATTTCCTTAGTCAGTGTTTTATAGTTCTCCACTCACTGCATCTTATCAGTTATACACAGGTTCAGATTGTCTTAGGGCTGTGCTGTTCACTGTGATCTTTTCATTGATAGTCATGTCTTACGATTTTCTCCATTTGTTTTCTTTTGCCTTTTGTGATTTTTATGTATTTTGTGGAGACATACTTTTGAATAACTCGTTACTCATCCAACTCTCAGTTTATTCATATATTTATTTCATTGTAGATGTATGCATCCTCATTTTATTCAATGCATGATGATTCATTTTTAATTTTAATGTTGATACTGATATCGTCTCAGAGTGGGCCTGTTAGAGAAAGACTTCTCCAAATGGCTGCTCTGTCCTTTCTGCATGTCTCCATTTTTCTTTAAGCCATTTCTTGCTTTCTGGCAAAATGATTGTTCAGGCTCACCTTGAAATCTCCCTGCTCTACCGTGGATTCAGCCATTTGTCCAAAGAACCCTCATTTCATTTAGTGGATAATTATATTTATAATCCAGCATGTGGTACTATGTGTGCTCATTGCTACTGGGGGTTTCATTTACACAGGCCCCTGTCCTTTAACCTAAAACACCTGCCTCTGCACTGCCTCCGCTTCCTCACGCCACTCCTTCATCATTCTCCTTTGCTTCACTTTTAGACATTTCCCCTTAAAGTCTATATTTTCTCTGTACCTATTTTCTGTAAACCACTCTCATCTTGCTTTTAATCTCATTATTCTACTTCACAGTTTAAATCAGCCTCCTGTTTCAGTTTTCATGTTGTAGTCCTTAACATCACCATATTGTTTTTGAGTGATGTATAAAAATGCAAAAAGCATCACTGAGAGAATTACTATGGTTGCTAAAATTATGAGCTATTCTAATCTATTGATACAATATCCCAAAAAATATCAAAAGAAAAATATTCTTAAAATGTAAAAAGCTTGAAATGTCAGAACTTTCAAATTAATTTATTTACTTCTAGGATTAATAATGCTTAAAAAATCTTTTAAATAATATAAATGGAACAAAAAGATAATCATTTTATATCACATATCCTATAACACAGATGAGATTATGAAATTAGTTGCTTCTGATCTACACAACTTTTACAAAAGTATGTTAGGAAAA